TATATATACCTGTATAAATTCTTCCTAAATCATGAAACTGGTTCAGCTATGGACTTAAACAAATGTGAGCCAGCCCTTTGACACTTTGGAGGCACCTTAATGCCTAAGCGTACCACTTTTTAATCCCCGATCTGATTTTTTTCCATGTCACACCGACTGCATATAGAGAGGCTCCAACTAGGCAGCCCAGGCAGATCTGAGCAGATTTTTTTCCGCTTTCGTCTATGACCTATAAACAAATTAAAACAATTTCCCACATTTGACTTGAAAAGTTATCTAAAAATAAATAATAAAAAAACACAAACCATTCTAGAAACCAGAGCCCCACTTAATGAGTCTGTGCAGCAGTTCAAACAAGATTAGGTAGAGAATGTTCATATGCCTATATTGAAAACATAATAAGATCTATGCTGATGAAGGTTCTCAGTCATCCAGGTCATAGTCATTCCGTAAAAATTCAAAAAATATCCACTGGACTAGGTTTCCAAGATTTGAAGACGTTTCGCCACCTCCCTCGTTGTTTTTGTGTGGCTCAAAGAGGATCACTACTGTATCCATTTTGTGTCATCCTGAACTCCTTGAGTAAAGTATTCTTTTTTAGTGTTTCATTCATTGCTTTTGCTTAAGTTTGCCCTGCTTAATATATGATGTGTGGCTCCAAAACTGACTTTCCCCATTTAAATAACATCTTTTATTTTGTATTTTCCCCCAAATCTGATGTGTTTTACATTGTAACTGTCACTCTCTTCCTCTCAGACTCATGAAATTGTTGCTGAATTGCTGCGTACTCCAACTAAAATAGACCTAATGTCCATCTCAGTCGGACCAACGCAGCCCCCTTGTGTAAACTGCATCGGGGGTGATCCTCTACATTGACTTTCATGAGCTCTAAACGCTACGACCTGGTCAGACACGATCTTTTGTCGAATCGGATGCAAAATCGGATTCGGTGTGTTTGGCCTTCAGTCCTAAACCTAACACCTAACCCTAATATAACATGATATAAAACATTACATAAAAACAGAAATGCCCTCTACATGAAGGGCCAGAGCTGTCTCTATTTTCTGAGGCGTCTGAGTTCCGTCAACATCTGCTGGACAAAGCTGCAGATGTTTTATGAGACTGTGGTGCCATCCTCTATGGTGTTGCATGCTGGGTCAGCAGACTGAAGGTGAAAGATGCCAAAAACAACCAACAGGCTTAACAAACTGATCCACAAGGCCAGTCATGTTGTTAGAGAGGAGCTGGACTTTCTGAGAGCAGAATGTTGGCCAGGATAAAATCCATGCTGGACATGGACATGCTAGCACCCACAGAAGCACCTTCAGTCAGAGACTCATTTAATCACGCTGCACCACAGAGCATCAAAGGAAGTCATTCCTACCTGAGACCATCA